GAAAGAAGAAAAGAAGGAAGGAAGAAAGGAAAGACAGACCCTTTGGGGCCCAGACTCCTACCCCCATCCCCTCCCCCACCTCCCCCAGGCACCCTGGCCTCTCTGCCCGCCCAGGCTAGTGCCCTCTCCCCTGCTTCCCGGAGAACTCTCCCCCTCTTGGCACCGGGCGCCGCTCCGCCCGCACCCCCACCGCCTGCCCCTCTTCCTGCCTGGCGCAGCTTGCATGGCTCGGGGCCCTGGGTCACAGGCTCTCGGCCTGCTCTCCTGCTCTCGGGCGCAGGCCTCCCGCACCCTTCACCCGCTGCACCCTGCCTCCTCGGGGCCTGTCTAATTCCGCCAGCAGACTTAGCAAGGACTTTCTGGGTGCCAGGCCCTGGCAGGGCCACCCGCTCGCTTACCCTCAAAACTACCTCTGGCGGCCTTGCCCTGGCCTCGCAGGCTCCATGCCAAGGCCCTGCCACCCCTCTGTCCTCTCTGTCCCCTCCACACCTCTGCTGCCACACTGAGCTCAGCCCATCTCAGGGCCTTTGCATCTGCTGCCCCTGTCCCTTTCCAGGGCACCTTCAACCACTTCCTCCCCTCAGCTTGTCCCCAGGCCACATCTTGGCCTTCCTGACCAATGCACCCACTACCTCTCATAGCTGCAACAACGGCAGCTGTGCAGAGGGACCTCCTGGGCCCGCAGAGGTCCCACTGGATACCAGGTGACTGCGCACAGAGTGCAGGGGAGGAAGCCCAGCCCAGAGCAGCCCGGGTCTTACCAAGGCCACCAGCAAGCAAGAACCAGAGCTCAGATCTCTGCTGTTTTCCTGAGTGTCTCACCCCTCAGGGTGCTGAGCTGCCTGCCCATAGCTTGCGAGCCAGAGGCACACATAGACCTGCATGGAAACCCCAGCTTTGCGCTCTCTGAGCAGGGGGTGCCCCACACAGAGCCTCAGTTTCTCCACCACTGTCATGGAGCCCTGACTTTCTGCCTCTGAGGTCACCCCAGGCCCTGAAAAGCCCTGGCCTTGGGCCCACCACAGCCTCCTCAGTCTCTCAGCCCAGGCCTCTGTCACCAACCTACTCACAGTCACAGCCTAGGGCACCATTCAATGCCCCACAGGACAGGCAGAGGACTGACTGGTGAGCTGAGAACACCACTTGGATTCAGCCATACTCAGAAAGAATTGGGAAAAAAAAAAGAAAAGAAAAAAAAGAAAGAATTGGGAAGGGGCCAGAGGAACTGGAAATAGAGCCAACCAGAGGCTGGGGCCCCAGGGACGCAGGTGAACAAAGGGTCTCAGGCTCCAGTGCAACCAGGGGTCCAAAGCTCTCCTTGGCCAGCAGCTCTTGGGACAATGGCTACACCTCCATGCCTCAGTTTCTCCACCTGGAGGATAATAAAGAGCCCCCTTGTCACTGGCGCTTACATAGTGAGTGGTGTGGCGGCCTCACCTGGTTGGCCTTTGAGGGCCGCCCCATCCCTCCCTGCCCCACTTTTCCTGCAGAGCTCTTGTCCCCACCTGTCATTATCTTGTTCCAATTGCTGAATACTGTCTGTCTCACCTTATAAATTGTCACCTTCATCTTGGCCACCACTTGTCCCCAGTGCCTAGTAAAGAAGCTGGCACACAGCAGGTGCTCAATAAACACTTGTCAAATAAATGAAAAATAATGAGGCAAATAAATATTCAGGAGATGAAAGCAGAACCACCTCCACAAGTCCAAGGGGGAGCTGGGTAGGAAGGAACCTCCTCACGTATCTGAGGAAGCAGCACCCCCCGGCCAGCCTGTGCCAGCCCCTGGTCCTTCCTGCTGTGCAACTGTCACTGGTCACTCCTCTCTCAGAGCCTGTCCATTCCCCTTCCTAAGGAAACACCAAGTGCAGGAGCTGTGGCCCAAGTGCAGGAGCTGTGGCCCTGGAATGCCCCACTCCAGGCCCAGTGGCTGGCAGGCTCCCGGCTGTCACTCCAAGACCCACTTTCCTCTGATAAGATTCTCAGGTGGGGAGGGCTTTGGTCAAGGGCCCTGTCCTGAGCAGACAACACAGAGTCCCAGACTCTCCACCTCCCTGCCAGCCTTGGCAGTCAATCTGGCCTTCCTGGTAAGACAGACCTGGGATTGCTGCTGTGCCCCCAGCTCAGGGCTAGGCCCTCACCCCCCGTCTATGGGCCCCTCCTTAGGCTCTCCCCACATGCTCTTTCTTGTTCCAGGACTGTTGAGCATGCTGTTCCCTCCTCCCTACAAGCCCTTACCCTTGGGCCTGGTGACCCATAGGGTGGGTGTCACCCCACCTATGTGACATCTCCCAAATCCTCTGGCACTGTCCTACTACAGCAGTCGCCACCCCATAAACTGCTTCTCCAGTTCTCCCAGGGGTTGTCACAGGGCTCTGGTTCAGTTTCCCTTTCTGTTCCCTCCAAACTGTAACACCAAGCACATCACTGTGCAGCTTGGGGTTCCTGAATGTGAGGCCAGGCAAGGAGCCCCAAGGAAGGGCCAGGATTGGGACGGCGGTGAAGTGTTCGAAACAGCCTCATAGCCCCAGATTCCCCCCCAGAGACTAGCAAACAGTTGGAACCCCCACTCTACTTTGAACCAGAACCTAAAGTGACATCACCAGGCCTTTTCTGTTCAAGACAGTGTCTTCCTTAGAGGTCCAGGCAAGGCAGGGACTTGTGATCCTCCTGCCTCAGGCTCTTGAGTGGCAGGGGTCACAGTTTTGTACTACACCTGGCTTAAGCCTCACGTTACTAACTGGGAAGCAGGTGAGACAGCTCTCCTGCATGCTCGGGTGGATTACAGCAAGACTGTGTGTGTGTGTGTGTGTGTGTGCGCACACGAAGTACCCTGCCACCCAGGAGAAGAGTGTTGAGGACAGCAGCGCAGGTTACAGTCACAGGCTGCTCCCCATTCCCTGCTGAGTCCTCTGCAAAGCAGGTAGCTGCAGCCAGGCAACTCTCAGTGGCCAAATGGGAGAGCAGCGATGGGGAGAAACCTCTCTCTCACTGGCGTGGAAAAACTGAGCCACCTCCAGCAGAGCTCCCTGTTGTCGCTGGCATTGACGGAGCTGCTGTGGCACAGGACTGACCGGCCCAGCCTCCAAGGGCCATGCAGCCTGTGTCCTGCACCCAGGGCTCAGACTTGGTCAGGGTGACAGGGCCAGTCCAGGCTGAAGTGGGGCTGTCTGTCCGGTGGTCTGCAGAACTTTTATGCCACCAATGCCTGACGCTGGCATTAGAGACAGGGAGTTCATCTCAGTTCTCACAGAGGGCCAAGGGTCACTCCAGGCTCCCACAGGGACAGCATCTGTAGACCCCAGAGAAAAAGTACAAAACATATTCCCATTCTCGAGCCACAGGTCAGCAGTGTTTCCCAAGACCTCAGGTGGCCCAGGCCAGCGAACCTGTGGCCCACTGCTCCCTCCTCCATATCTCGGGGCAGGGAGGCTCCAAACCAGTTCCTTGACTACAGGCACCTGACAGCAGGGCTCCTGGGCACCCACCTTTCTGAAGGTTGCTGTGAGGCTGAAATGGGATGGGGCAGGTCTCTGGCAAGCATCTGATACACTCACACTGTGCTGAAGACCTGGTGCAGAACGCCAGGAGCCTCCCAGCAAAATGTAATAGAGAGCAAACGCTTATATAACACCTCTGGCGTGCCAGGCACCGGAGGACGCCGACGCATATCCACTAACCCCTCGGTAGACATCCTCAGCTCTCAGGAATGCCGGCCAGGGCGCAGCGGGCTGGGGGGAGTGGGGCGTGCAGCAAGGAGGGGCAGGACCCAGAGGGATCACGGCCCAGGGATCAGGGATAAGAGATTCAAGGCTGAGCTCAGGTACCCCAAACACACCGGTGGGCTGGGCCTCATGTCCACTTCTAAGCAGGGAGGATGTGTGGGTGGTGTCCCGTCCCAGTGGAAAGAGGGGTCAATTACTGCAGAACCCTTCCCCAACTTCTCCCACCTGGCCCAGTCTCTCCTCCCGCTGGACAGGGACACACAAACAGACTCGCCCACAGGCGTAGCCACGTTCCCTCTTAATACACACACACACACACACACACACACACACACACACACACAGAGTACATACAGGCACTCAAAATGTACACACAAAGTACTTTTTAAGCAGCCCACCCCACTACACTTAGCAAACAATCTGCCCTGACTTGAGCCAAACAAGACCCAAGTCATGAGTCCCCTCCTACAGTCACAGGCCTGCCTGCTTGTCCCCAAACAGTTCCGGGGTCACAGACTTCCCTCTGAACTCAAGAGTTCCCAATCCACAGCACCCAAGGGCGCTGAGTCACCCTGAAAGCCTGACCCAGCACTCTGCACCTCTTCCCCAGAAGCTGGGGCCTCCATCTGCCAGCAGACCCCAAGCAGAGCAGCAGGGAGGAGAAGAATCAGCTGTGACACCCCCACCCAGCCACCAAAAGAATCCAAAAATAACAGCAGCCCCCTCACACACAACCCCTACACACCAGCAACGCAAAACAAAGCCCTATCCATCCAAAGGAAAGGGGAAAAAAATCAAAAGCCAACTACTGCCCCCAAAAGGCTTTTTCACCGTCCTCGAAAAAAGTTTATTAAAAGTGTTCTTACTTAATGCTTGAAACGGAGATTCCCAAAATATACAGACGCCTCTTGTCTCATAGAAATAGATTTTTTTTTATAATACAAAAAAGGACCAAAAAAATAATAACAACAACAGCAACCCCGTAGGAACATCTTTAAGCGATTACTCAGGGCCCGGCTGACAGTTACACGTGGGTTGCGTCAGTCCCGTCTACACACGCGTTCAGCCATGTTTAAACCGATTGCATCAACTTCGAAACCGGCCCGCCCGCCGGCACCCGGAGAGGGGCAGGGGAGGCCGAGTTCAGAGTCATCCGTACACACGGGCGCTGCTGCTTTAAATAACACCACGGACGGGCGCGCCATCTGCACGTGCGGCCGGTCTGGACAAAAATATAGAAATATATATAATAAAATATTAAGATTACCGACGGGCTCCCCGCGCTGCCAGGCGCCCCGGTGCCAAGTTCCGCCGGCAGCGCGGAGGCCGGCCGGCAGGGGGGCGCGCGCGGGGGCCGCGCTAGCAGTGGCCGGAGGAGGCGAGCAGGGGCTCGGGCAGCTGCTTGAACAAGTTCCGCAGGGTGCTGAGCTCGCGCGACAGCTGCTCCACCTTCTTCTGCAGCCGCTCGTTCTCGGCCGTGAGCTCCAGGACTTTGTGTTGCGTCTCCAGGTTGCGCATCTTGGCCTTGTCGCGGCTCTTGCGCACGGCGATGTTGTTGCGCTCGCGCCGGATCTTGTACTCGTCGCTGTGCTTGTCCACCGTCTTCTTGGCCTTGCTCTTGACCTGCGCCGGCGCCGGCGCGGCCCCCGGGTAGCAGGCGGTCGGGGGCGCCTTGGCGTCGGCCGGGCTCGGCGTGCCGGGCGGACTGGACGACGAAGATGTGGACAGGCTCCCGCTGCTGCCGCTCGGCACCGACTGGTAGCCGAGATAGGCGCGCAGCGCATACGGGAAGCCAGCCGCCATGCCTGCGCCGCCGCCCGGCGCCCCGGCCTCCTCCTTCCGCTTGCAGTCCGCGGGCTCGAAGCCCGGCTCCGCCTTGAGCTCGGCGGGCGGTGGCGGCGGGTGCAGGGGCGCGAAGCAGCCGGGGTGCAGCGCGCCCTTGGCGGCCCCCAGGCGCCCCAGGTTCACGTAGCCGTACTCGGCCGCCTTCTTGCAGTTCTTGCCCCCGTAGTCGTCGGAGAAGAGGTCGGAGAGGAAGTCGTGGTGCTGCCCGGAGGAGGCGGGCGCGGGGGCGGGCGCGGGCGGAGCCGCCTCGAAGGTGTCCGTGGCCGTGGCCGGCGCCGGGGCCTGCGGCGCGCCCAGCGGCTCCAGGTACGGGCTGAAGTCGATGGCGCGCTCGTGGTCGCCGATGCTGCCCAGCTCGCCGGCGGGGGCGCGCGGCCCGGCTCTGGCCGCTGGGGGCGCCGCGGGGGCCGCCTTGCCGCCGTACGCAGCAGCCAAGCAGTCCGCCTCGTAGTAGAAGTTGGCCACTTCCATGGATTTAAAGGCAGGCGGCGGCGGCAGGGGGAGACATGCTGGGTCCCAGGCCACCAGGCGTTGCATGAACGCGGGTGCCCGGGGAGGGGGCCTGGGGCTGCCCGCTCCGGCCGGCCCGCAGGTGGCGCGGCCTCCCGGCTCCTGGCTGTCGCCGCTGTGTCCCCGCCGCTGCAGTGGCCGCCGCTGCCGGGGTGGCCGCTAGGAGTGCGGGGGCTGAGATGGCTGGACCCTTGGACTGGGCCCCTTCCCGGTCCGGTGTGCGGCTCTGACTCGCTAAAGTTTCTCTCGAGCCCGGTTATTTATAAGGCGGCCCTTGGCAACGGTGCGTCACGCCGCCCCGGGCCCCTCCCGCCGCCGCCGGAACGCGACGGCCGCGGCCGCTCGGGACCCCCGGGAGGGCGGCAGCCGGGCGCGGTGGCCCTGCGCAGGTTCCCAGGCGCACCCTCCTGGGGGGTCGCCCAGCCGCGGGGGGCCGCTTTGCGCCCCCCAGCCGCCCCGGGATTGGGAAGGAGAGGGGGAGGTGCGACCCCGCCCCCGGACCGCCCCCTCCGGGCTGGAGCCTGCGCTGGAAGTGGAGGGAGGCGGGGAGGGGGCGACCCGAGCGCCTCCCCCCGCCCCAAACACGGCCGCGGCCCGCCCCCTGCTGGAGGAGGAGGAGGCTTTGCGGCTGAGCGCGGCCCGAGGTCCGTAGAAGGGCGCTCTCGGGCCCGACCTGGCGACCCCGGCCCCGGCTGCCTCCGCCCCTGACTGTCCCAGACCCGCACCCAGCCGATGGAAGGAGGCGACTCCTCGCCTAAGAGACCCCAAAGCCGCCGCAATTGGAGGATCCTGGGGGCGGGGTCGCAGGGCAGGGGTCTCCCGGGGCCTGCGCGGGTGTCTGCCGCGTCGCTCCCCGAGCCCCACCCACCGCACCTGCGAGCGCTCAGCGGCGCCCGCCGCTCTCCTGCACGCCCGGCCCGGCCTCAGCGGCGGAGAAACGGACCGACTCTGCCGCGCTGTGGGGCTGTGCGGAGTCCCTGAGCTTCTCTGAACTTCGGTGCTGCGTCTTGTAGTGCTGGCCCCTGTGGCGGAGGAGGAAGTGTTGAGACCGTCTGCCTCCGGACTCTGTCAGGGATGGTGCAAGTCCCGGCAGTCCCCAGATGTCCCAAAGAAAACGCTTGCGTCGGCTCCTGCAGACGTGTGTGCCGGCCCCTGAGACCCGCGAGTCCGCTGTGTGTGCGGGGAGGGGTCGTGCGGCAGAGAGAAGGGGCTCCCCCATTTCGGCACGTCGCTCACCCTCCGGCCACATGGGACTGGACCCAGGTTCCTTGTGCAGCCTGCCAGGAAGATGCCACCGCCCACCCTGGCCTGAGCAGGCAGGAGACGCACGACCACCGCCCTCTCGGGCTGGGCGCTCCATCCAAGCGCCGGTCCTCCATGGGCTCCCCGCCCAGCCAGTCCAGGTTGCTCTGACCCCAGGCCCACTGACCCCAGCCATGGCCCCTGAGGGCTGGCGGGCATTTCTCAACCTTCAGTGTTATCTGCCTGGCTGGGGTGACCTCCGCCCCCAAGAGCTGGAGAAATGACATCTCCACTGCCCTTGGGGGGTGGGGGGGCAGGGAGGGACGGGACAAAATACGGGCCTGCCGGCTCCCTGGGCCTTCCCAGCAGCCTCTGGGCTGGGGAGGCACCAAGGCCCGCGGGACCTGGGAACATCCCAGGGGACCCAGCCAGGCTTTCCAGTAGAGAGGAACACTCAGGACTAAGCTGGAGGGTCTCAGCCTTCAAGAGGCCTCCCTGACCCACCCAATAGGGAACTCCTTCATAGCCATAGCTCAGCCATCAGGATCCCAAGGTCTTCTCTACCTCAGTTTCCCCTGATGTTGTGCTCCGTGAGACTGGCCCTTGAGCAGTGGGAATCCTGAGCCCAGTGGGCTTGAAAGAGACAGATGAACTAGTGCAGTGGCTATCCCCGTTGTCCCCTGCTCTGCCCCAGGTCCCAGCCCTGTCCCTTTCCACCAGAAAGCCTCCCTGACTTCCTGTCACAGCCCCAAGCTTTGCACCTTCCGCACCCCTGTACCCTCTCCATTGTCCTGCACTGTGGCTGACATGGTATCACCCGCTCCACTCAGTGTGGTCCATCCCTGTGGCCCCCTCTCATGCCAGCTCTGGGCAGTGTCTGGCACTCAAAAGGTGCTTAACAAATGGCAAATAGATGAATGAAAGGCCAAAAAGGTGGGATCCCCTATGAACTTGGCTTTGTGATCTGGGCCAAATGGGTGTCCTGAGACCCCCACACACACACCCCAGCATGTGAGGAACGGGGGTGTGCAGTGAGGTCTGTGGAGTCTGAAGCTAAATGGAAGCCTGCTGTGTGTCCTCAGCCAATCTTTTACCCTCTCTGAACTGCTTTGTGAGTGTGTGTGAGAGTGTGTGTGTATGTGTGTGTGTGTGTGTGTGTGATGAATCCCGCATCTTCACCCTGAGCTACAGGTCTTACTAAGTTGCCCAGACTGGGCTTGAACTTGCAATCCTCATGCCTCAGCCTTCAAGGCTGGGATGACAGGTGTGCACCGTGCCTGGTTTCCAAACCACATTTTAGCTCTCTATTAGTTTATTTAATCCTTCTGGTAATTTATAGGAAGTAGGGGTGGTTATCACTCCACTTCACAGACAAGGAAACAGAGACCCATTAGAAATCTGCTCACAGTCATGTTAAAGGGGTGGGAAGGAATAGTGTTTCCCCCAGCCTTTGATAAACTGCAACAGGCCTGACATCGTCTCACTTTCTACAGGAAAACTAAAAGGCATGGAGAAGGTGGACAAGGGTCCCACAGCAAGTCAGATGACGCTTGGGATCCTGAGGACCAGATTTGGCCCTGTGTGGGGCCTGGCACTCTGCTCCCAAAGCTCTGCACTGCCTCCTGCTGGGCTCCCGGCCCTGCCCTCTGGCTGCAGTGCCAGGCAGAACCCTGGGCGGGCCTAGCTCCTGTGGCTCCTTGCTCAACAGGCCCGGCCGCCCCCCACCAGACCTGCCCAGCTCCAGGAAGGGACTCAGCCTCCCAGGCCGGCAGGAAGCAGCGAGTCCTCGGATGGGTTCAGTTCGAGCCCATAGTGCTTTGCTTGGTTTTTTTTCTTTTTTTAAGTGACTGTATTGCTAACACTTAAAAACCAGAAAACTTCACTTCAAAATTCAAATTTTCAGCTTCTCTTTAAAACCGAAAACCACTGAGCAGGCCATGGTAGCACATGCCTGGGTTCCCAGCACTCAGAGGCTGAGGCAGGAGGATTGTCTTGAGTTTGAAGCCAGCCTGGGCTACAGAGAGACCCTAGCTCAAAAAGAAAGAAAAAAGAGGAAGGGAAAGAAAGGGAAGGGAAGGGAAGGGAAAGGAAGGGAAGGGAAGGGACAGACAGACCAAAGATGTGACTGAGGCCTGTAGCTACACGGCAGTGGCAGGAGCCAACCAAGGGCAGTAGAGGCCTTTTCCAATGTATCTTTAGATCCCTTCTCCTCTCTCAGCAGCTTGTTCTCAGTCCCACCTGCAGGAGGGGGAAACTGAGGCAGCTTCCCCCATGGGAGACCATTGGCAGCCTCTGTGGCAAATGGTAATCACCGGATTTGCAGAGGTACAGAGAAGCTAGCCAGTGGGGCCAAGGTGGTGGGGCTGCCTCCTTGCTGGGCTTCCTGGGCCGCTCCAGTGTCCTGGGCTTCTGTCCCTGATCTATAAAATGGGCATTAATACCCCCTCCAGGCTCTGGGCCTGCAGCAACCTCTCTGCTACGTCTTCCTGGTACCTGACAATGATGCAGGCTTCCACCAGCCCCCAAGGGTCTGGCCGTGGGCTTAAGAGGCCAGGACTCCCCCCCCCCCCAAGCAAATTGGTAAAAAGGCCAGTGAGAAACGCCCAATCCCTAATTTCAGAGTCTGAGATGTTCCCCGTCCCCATGACTCCTCTCTGGAACCTCAACTTGCCCACCTGCCAAATGGGACTGAAGGCAGAGATTAGATGCCGGAGGGAGCTGTGGAGGCCAGGGTTCGGAGTTCTCAGCGTGAAGACCAGAGAGTGAAATTTACCTGTGTGTGTGCTGCCCCCATGTGGCGTTCTCTGGGACTGCAGGAAACATTTAAATTGGCCCTTTGACCTGAAGACCGACAGTGTCTTGCTTTGGATTTGAGAAAGCTGTCACTGTGGATGGGACAGCTGCTCACACGATATGAGCAGGCCACGAAGAGGAACAGAGACTTCTGGTGAAACGAAAGATGCCCAGCTTTCATGTATTCATCCATCAAACTTTTGGGCTGGGGCTCAGACACCAGAGATATTCATGAAGGAGAAAAGTGATCTTTGTTCTTGTGGAATTGAAATTCTGCTGGAAAAGACCAAATATAAAGATAAGTGAGTAAAATCTATATTGCTTAAGGTTCTGGTAAACACAGTTGGGAAGGTATCTGGAGAGAATCAGGCTTTTGGGGGACTTGACATTAACAGAGTCCAGCAGCCAACAAAAATCCTGACTGAAGGGACATTTGCTTAGAAACCAGAATGCAGAGAGGGGCGGGCCACACAGATGTCTGCAAGTAGATAGTGCTGGGTAGGAGAACAATACATGCAAAGGCCCTGGGGTAGGACTGTACTCTGCCCTGCATGGTTGTGGTGGAGTAGAGAAGGAGCAGGCATGCCACGCCCAGACTGTGTAGACCATTGTAAGACTGGCTCTTCCTGTGGATGATCCCGAGGGCTTCTGGGCAAAGGAGGGCGGGACCTGACTTCAGGGTCTCAGGATCCCTGTGGTTGCACCAGGCAGCGTAGTGGAGGGAGAGCTGGGGAGCAGCAGGCACGGGTGGGCGCAGCCAGGGTGCTGGCCTCGGACCTGGTGGGAAGTGGTCGCATTCGGGATCTGTTTGTTGGTGGGACCTTGCAGGCCTGCTGCTGGATCTGACTACAAATGCGCGCAGTCATGGGCTACCCAGAGCCACTCATAAGGACAAAGCAGTGGCCACAGAGGTAGCTCAGTGGTCTAAGCACCTGCTCAGGCAAGCTCAAGGACCCAGATTTGATCGCCGGTACCACACGCTGTGCCCGCCCCAGCCCTGTGTTCACTGAGCCACCCGCTAGACCGGGTGTGGTAAGGAACACGTGTAATCCCAGCACAGGCGAGGCTGAAACAGGA